CGTGATATTCTCATAAGCAAATTAGGAAAATAGGAAATTCTGCCTCTGTGGGTGGATGGCTGTCGCAGTGGGAAAACTCGACCACTCAATATGAGCGATCAGCAAGCTTCGATTATTGATTAGCGTTCAGCATACTTATACAGTTCTTAATGAGATCATACATATTCTGTAACCTAACTAATTAATTGGACACTATCCTAAACGTCAACCCCTCCCCTAGTTCCTCATTCCTTAGCTGCTTACTCCCTTAAGTTCCCATGCCTTAGCTGACCGTAAGCAAGCTGTTATCGTATAGCAGCTGCAGTCAAGGACAGCGTGTCCTTACCACCCCAGCCCTTCAGACTAACAGAATCCGATGTTTCCCAAAATCCTGGTCAGCCATCTACAGTATGTCTATGTGACCCTTGTCAGCTAACCAATCCTCGACAGATGGCTACCCAAGGATCTACATCCCATCAGCAGGTATCAATAGCTCATGACAGCAGACACATTAAGCAGGGGTTTCCTGGAGAAGCGTGGCTCAAATGAAGGCAATATGCCATTGAGGAAGGGTGTAGGGGCTGTCTGGGAGGAGGCTTAGAAATCAAATTCACCCTGATGAGCTAGAGAAAAGAACAAAAATGCCCTGAAAGAATGACTGGTGGAAAACAATTGGGTGTTTTTAATGCAGGAAAAGATGAGAGAAGTCTTCAGAGTGGGAAAAAAGCCCCAGTATGAAGCAAGCAGTGAAAGACAGAGAAGTGTGTAGGGTTTGTGGTCCTACCTGGGGACCAGGGTTGAATGTCCCTTTCTGCCCCTCCTGGGCACTACTGGCAGGATGGAGCCACCTGGATGTGGGGTGACCCCAAAGGGAAGGGATATCCCAGCAGGGTTGGGATGCATGTGGGCCAAGCAGGGTCCTCATGGGCAGTGTGGGCTCTTTGTCCCTGGGCTGGAGGGGTGGGAGACAGGGAGGCTGACACACAGTGAGAGATGGAGAGGAGGGTAAGGAGCCTCTGGAAACCTTCCTCCTCTTGCCTAGGCGGCTCACCTGGGCGTGGGAAGTAAAAAATAACTTCAGGCTGTGTGAAAGCAGCAAGGAAATTACCGCCTGGGCTGCACCTTGTGTTTGCCTCCTTCATGCATCCCATGGAGGAGCCACAACAGACGTGCCAGGATGGAGAGGATTGGCAGAGTCCATTCTGGTAAGGACTCTCCAGTCCAGCGGGATCATGTCAGGGCTGGGACAGGGCTTGTCCCTGGTCCCTGCCGAGGCCGGGCTGTGAGGGGACCTGCAGGAGCAGCTCTTCTTTCCAGGTGGGTGCTGATAAGTGGCAAGATGCTCAGGCAGCGCTGGGAGGTGTGTGTGAAGTGGAACAGGAACGTCAAAGCAGTTTCAGCTCTGTGGGTGGTTCGGGGAAAGTCCCTTTAGTAAAAGCAAATCAAAGGCTTTAATAGAGGGACCCTCACCAGGCTCCTTCTCAGAGATGACTCCGAGGGCTTGGTGCATCGTGAGTAGTGATTTGAGTTGTGTTGCCATGACGTAATGGAGGGCTGGTTTCCATCACAGCCAGATTTTGGAGGCAGGGGCCTGTCTTCATGCTAGGGGTGTCACTGGACCCCCAGCAAGCTGTGTGCCCCAGGGGCAGCATTTTTCCCCCCAGTGTGGGCAGCCTGGGCAGTGGTGCCTGCCCCATGGGGAGCATCCCTCTGCCCTACGGCAGCAGCTTTGGGGAGGAAGAGCTGGGCTGAAACCACAGATCTTCTAGATGAAGAAATTGGTTTATTTGGGTGAATGAATATGAGAGGTCCAGGAGAGAGGGCTGCCTCCCCGGGGGGCTCCTCCTCCTCAAAATAGCTTGAGGTTTTTAACACAGGCACGGCTGCCCTCAAAGTAAAAGGGAGGTGTCAAGACCTTTAAGTTTTTCCTGCTTTCAACCCGCCCCCCCCAGGGTAATTCTCAGCCCCTAACACAGAGGGGTACAAGGGGATGGGCAGATCCTGCAGGACAGGTGGTCCCATCCCAGTTACCCTGCTGCTGGTGGGTCCCCATGGCGATGCCAGGCACTGCATGGTGCCAGCTTTCTGCACTAGGGGACTTGCAGCCCTGGAGACCCCTCTGTGGTGGGGTGCACGAAGGGTTCTTCTATAGTGATGCTATAGAAATGAGGGCCCATTGCTCTGGGAAAGGAGTGGGATGGAACCAGGGAGATCTGCTGCTCCCTGTCTTCCTCCCTATGCACCAGACCTGAACCAGGGATGTCACCTGGTCCCCACCTGCAAGCACTGGATGGGAATGGTGGGACAACCCCTCCTTCACTGTCCTGCTTGTAGGGTGCTGCCCCAGCCCAAGAGGGACTCCGCGTCCCCATGGCTGGACTCTTAGGCAGGGGGTGACTTGGGTCCTAGCTTTGCTACCTCTCTGTAAGGATCCTGAAAACCTTGGCTTGGCTCCTCTGCTTCCAGGAAACCTCTTCTTTCTTCTAGCCCTACTCACAGCATCAAGGCATAATTAAGGGTGGAAGGACCTCAGAGCAGGGAAGAACCTTGAAGCTGAAGACGGACTCTTCCCCAAGACCTTGTCATCTCCCTCTGTTCTTGCATGTTGTGAAGGTGCCGAAGGGCTCTTGATACAAATGACTTGCTGGCTTTTCCCTTCCAGCAGCAAATATTGGAGGCTCTGTGCCAACCTGTCATTACTGGGACTTACCTGCATCGCCTGTCTTGCTTTTGGGATCTGGAGGATGAGCCTGATGTGCTGGTACCTCTCAAGATCTCTCACAACTGCTGTCGCTTGCCAGCAGCCACTGTGCCACTCTTGTGAAGACACAGGTGCTATCACCTACATCTTCAGCAATCCCACTGCCCCAGCCAGCTCCAGGGCAGGGCCAGCCACTGTCATTGCTGCTTGGGACACCCAGGCTTTTGGAGTGTCAAGCCAGAAGAGCTGCCACCTGGATATACTTCATTTGAAGAGTGTGATGTATTTTAAGCATGATTCCTAGATCCTTTTGTGCTTTTTTTAAACAGAGGTCTGGGCTGCTGCAGGCTTTAATACCCTACAGTCTTTGTGTTAAACCCTCCCCGCTTCTGGCAGCCTGAGTGCTGCTCCGGGCACTCAGCATGAGGAGCTGCCATAACTTTCCATGGTGGCTTCATCCTCAGCAGCCACACAGCATATTTCCCTCAAAGCTGGGTGTTTTAGTGTGTTTTGTGCCCTCTCTGTGCACAGGATGGTCTGTTCTGAAAGCTTCATGCTAGATGAGATGGTTTAACTTCCATGGCAAGCTGCAGATCTTCCCCTAACTCAAGACCAGTTATCATTTGGTATCTTATCTAACCTGCTCCCCGTCCTGCATCACTCTCCATGGGATGTCCTAGGGTACCTGTGCACCTGGAGAGGGGTGAGCTGGGGGGCACTGGGCTGCAGGCAGCCTGGGCTCCACTGTTTATACCTTCTCTGGGTGCTCTCAGCTCAGAGCACACCTCACTTCTTTCAGTTTTACGTGTGGTGCCGTCCTCCCTGACTTTCCACCCTGTGGTTTCACATCAGGTTTAGTCATTTAGTACCCACAGAGGTAAGGCTACTTGGGACTTTATCAGCTGCTGAGTCCTGTGTTTTTGGTGGCTTTCGCTGCTATTATGCTAGGCACAATCTCTGCCAGTTTGCCCCTGGCTGCTGTGACAGTGGTGGGCACAGGCAGCCTGGCAGGGGGTTGCTTTTCCAACCTCTTTGCTTGTGGACAGAACAGCATCACGAGAGCATGGCTTCAGCAGGGTTAGGTGTTCATGTATGGGGCTTGGGCAAACCCACCTTTTCCTTGTTTTGGAGAACATTTCACCTGGCCAGGACCTGGTGCAGCATCAGCAGAACCTGTTAGCACAGGGATCAGGATAGGGTGGTGCTGCTCATGTGGGAGCAAAGGTTCACCTCTTCAAGCACAAAGACATCATATGAAGAGGAAAAATTTGTGGAAAAGAAAGCACACATGCATTAGCACCTAGAAGCCGCAAGCTTGACCCTGGCCACTGCCTCTTCTCCAGCTCCAGATGGGACCATGAGGACCTGGGAGGACATTTTTGCAGGGAAAATTGCAGACATGCACTTAACAGGGCCATGGACACTTCAGGAGGATATCCTGCAGGTCCACGTCCTCAAGTCTGGCTGGAAGGAGTTTGTGCAGCACCGTGAGCTTGGGAGGTAGGGGGCTGCCCACTTGGTCCCTGTCAGAGCGGGACTGGGGCAATGGGCTGCCACGCGGACCTTTCTCCAAACTGGCTTGTAGGAAACAGCTTTTGACATGAAAGGTGGTTTGGAGGTGAGTGAGGCTGGGAGGGGTTTTTCCTATTTTGTTCCAAGCTTGGTGGGTTATTGCCAAACTGGAAAAAAATAATGATAATTGGAGGGGAGGGGAGTTTGGCCAGAGTTTTTCCATTTGATGTCAAGATTCAAAGAGCTCCTCCAATGAGCAGGGGTAGTTACCCCAAGCTAGAGACAAAGGATGAGGAGAGGGAGAGGAGCTGTCTGCTGGAACAGAGCACAATGGCTGAGCAGTCTCTGCGTCTGCACCAGGCTTCGGGGTCATAGAATCATAGAATGGTTTGGGTTGGAAGGGACTTTAAAGGTCATCTAGTTCCAACCCCCCTGCCATCAGCAGGGACACCTTCCACTAGACCAGGTCACTCAAAGCCTAATCAAGCCTGGCCTTGAACACTTCCAGGGAGGGGGCATCCACAACTTCTCTGGGCAACCTGTTCCAGTGTCTCACCACTCTCACAGTAAATAATTTCTTCCTGATACCTGATCTAAACCCTGGGCATCAACCAGAGACTTTGCCCAGGTGGCGGCAAATGGAGACCTTGGCTGCCAGCCCCCACGGAGATTGTGCAAGATGAAGAGCTGCAGGTTACACACCTTTCTACTTCTCAAGATATCTCACCTGCCCTGCAGCCTCCACCCACACCTTCCTTCTATTTTTTTTTTTTTTTTTTTTTTTGGAGCTATTTTAACACAAATACTAAAGCCAAGGTCTGTTCTGGAGTGAGCTGTGACGAGCCATCATGGTGAGGGGCTGGAGCCCCAAATACACATGGGTCCTGATGCTTCCCTCCCCAAGGAGCCCTACTCCTGGCCGTGGGACCAGGATGGGCTAGGAGAGGGGACCAGAGTGGTCCCAGCAGGCAGCCTGGTTCCTTAAACCTGTAATCCTGATGCCAGCCCTGAGCTCACCTCTGTGTTGAACTACCCAGACTAGTGTCATGCTGTTTGGGGAAGGATAACTTGGTGTGAAGCTTGCATGAGTGAAGTTAATCCATCAGCCTTGGCTACCCCAGTCCCTTCTGACTGTGCGGAAAGCCACTGATTCAGCACAGGGAGCCTGGAATGACCTGATCTTCTCTGTGCCCTGGTAGTTTTCAGTGTTCCCAGTGCTTTCATGAGTGGTCTTTGACCAAAGCACATGTCCTTTTCCACATGTGCTGGTGCCAGGACCAGGGCATGGTACGGATGTGAGCCTTTCACCAGGCAATGCCCCGACCCCCAGCTGGAGGAGCCCGAATTCAGCCAGGACACCCCGGAGAGGCTTCTGCACAACGTGGTTCTAAAAATCCTCAAGTACTTCTGCTGTGTGCCTGTCCAGCCCTCCAACCTCCTGGCAGTCGTGGTGGATGCAGTGGTGGCAGGGCCACACAACAGCACCCGCTGCGATGTGAGCCTTTCACCAGGCAATGCCCCGACCCCCAGCTGGAGGAGCCCGAATTCAGCCAGGACACCCCGGAGAGGCTTCTGCACAACGTGGTTCTAAAAATCCTCAAGTACTTCTGCTGTGTGCCTGTCCAGCCCTCCAACCTCCTGGCAGTCGTGGTGGATGCAGTGGTGGCAGGGCCACACAACAGCACCCGCTGCGGGGGACCTGGATGGATGCACACAAGGCCAAGACCCATCACACCCTGGAATGCCAGGACACTAGGCATTATGGAGCCCCACCCCACCACCCCTTGCCCTTCAATAACAACTTCCCCTGGAAACACTGCTGCTGCACTGGCAGCTCTTTGCTCTGCATTTTGTCAGTGCTCCTCTTTGTCCTGCTTTATTTCACCAAGGACTAGTGGGAGCTGGGGCTCACAAAGACGACCAGGGGTGATGGCTGGGGGGGCTGATGGAGTGCCTGAAAAATTGGGTGCCCAAGGTCAGCCCTCACTCGTGGCATGGTGAGGCTTCCCCGGCTTGTGGGGGGGGGGGGGCCCACGACACACCTGGCTGCCTCTATCAGGCATCTTGTCCCACAGCTCCAGGAAGCCTGGTGAGTCTGTCACCTGCGGGTGCATCAGGGGAGGCCCTGGGGTCATTGTGGAAAATCCAGCTCCACAGAGCCACAGGGGAAGCCTGGAGATGTGGCTGTCCCCTGGGGAAGCAGTGTGCCAACCTTGGATTTAGGAGCAACTCAGGAGACAGCACCCTCTTGTGCCTGTGCCATCCTCATTGTATTTTTCATTTTTATAACACACCACATCTCACAGAGAGGCTGAGCAGGGCTGCCTGGCTGGTGAATGACTTTTATTAACTCCACCATCTTCCCAGCTTATTCTGTTTCAGTGGCCCCAGGCACCTGACTGTGCTGGGTACTGGCTGCTGGCGTGAGGGTTTCTATCACACCCCCAAACTGAGCTGCATCACTCCCTCATTGCCATTTTCTCTGGGGTTTGTACACTGCCTGGTGGTTTAATAGCAGAAACACAAACACTGGGGGACCTGCTGCTCACTGCAAGCAGCAAGAGCTGAAGTGAACAACTCTCAAACTACTCCAGATACTGAAATTGGTTTTTGGGCTGTTTGGCAAATGAATCCGAGGGCCAGACCTGCAAAGCCACCGAGGCAGCTGCATCCATTCCCTCCTGACTTTTTGCAAATGATTTGATGCTGAAGATGGACATGATAGAAAAGATTTCATGACTGAATTAATGCAAGAAAGATGGACTGAAGGAAAGGCAATAACCACTAAACCCAGTGTCACTGCTGCAGCTTGCACAGCATCAGGTCCTGGTTGTGCATCTTCTCAGGTGCTCTCCTCCCTGCTGTGTCCTGCAGGGCCTTTTACACTGCTCACTGTGGGTTTGCTTTTTTTGCTGTTTTAAGATTCTCCCGTATTTTCATATATGCAACCTGCAGGCTATTAGTTAAAAAAATAAAAATAACAAGAAAACCTCGTGTGATCCAGGGGCCATGTGGATTTTTTTTCTTAAGCGCTCTGTCCTGCCCATCCTACCAGCTCTCCCCCTTCTCCAGCACCTTCCCTCCTCCTGCAGCCCTGGCCATGGAGCCAGCAGATGGAGCTGCGAGATCTCCAGCACTGCACTGGGATGCACTGGGACCAGTGACCCACCAGCACTGGGAAGAGCGAGCCCACCCCAGATGGGGGATGCCCTCTCCCCTATCCCTGTGCCCAGCTATTTCCCTGTAGCGTGGTCCCCCCCAAACCATACCCTACGTGGATATGGTCCTAGTCTACAGATGAGCCAATCCCTCGCTGTGATTTCCCTGTCTCAGAGCACTGGAGGTGCACACGCGATGCAAAGCGCAGGGCCTCGTACCCCTCATGGTCCCCTACTCTGCCTGGGGGACAGTGGTGCCACAGCAGCAGGGTTGGGGACCAGCGTGGTGCCACCAGCAAGGATTGCCCCAGGAAAGAGAGCCAGCATGACCTGTTCCCCTTGCAGTGAATATCAGTGATGTCCAAAGTGTTTTTGGCAAGGGAACCATGACTGAGGGAGTGCTTTGGACCCAAAGGGTCTCGTATCTGAGTGGACTTGTCCTTCTGGAGGAGGTTTCTCCTTGCTCGGCTGACTGGGGCTGAGTAGCTCTGCTGGGGAGGAGGAGGCTGATCCTGCATCCTGGACCAGCTCCCTTCCTGTGCTGAGAGCAGCCCGCCCTCTCCCCGCTGGTATTATGTCACGAAGCAGAGACATGGCCAAGTTTCTTGCTGCCATTGCCCATAGATCTCTTTTTTCCATGCTGAGGTTTTCCCAGCCCCAGTCATCGTGTCTGGCTGCCTGTAGCCTCCCCAGCCACCCAGCTGCTGTGGGGGGAACTCCCTCACCTCTGCCTGGGAAGCCAGCTCTGGTGGAGACCACATCCCTGTGGGGATCCTTATTTTCTTTCTTGGGTCTCTCTGCTCTTTAACAAGGGCAGAGCCATCCCTTGCTCCCCTGCAATGCCCTCTGCACACACCCCGTGCTCCCCTACCCACGGCCTTACGTGCAAGCACTTCTTCTTTCCTGGTTCCCTCCTCGGTGCTGCCTGCCTGTCTCCTCATACTGTGTGTGCATGTCTGGGGGTCCTCTGTCCCCTCCATCATGCAACCCCTTCATCCCCTCCCCATCACTTATAGACACCTGTGAATACGTGGGCTTCTCAGCCACAGCCTCATTTTTGGGCTCCTTCCAAGATACCTGGTGCAGTTGTGCCCCTCTCCCAATTGTTTCTGAGCAAACTGCCCTCAGAGTGCTGCTTTTCATGGCTTTTGGTGATTTTGGAGCCCAGAGCAAGTCCCCATGGCTCATCTTGGCCCCCTGGGATGGTGAGCAGTGGCCAACCCTCCAGGTGGCATGGGGACAGCGAGCCTATCCTGAGGAAGGTGGCTGAGGGATGAAGGACTTTCCCTATGGGTCCCAGACAGGTCCTGGCTGTCCCCCCTGGTCTGTCCAAGGCTGGGCTCTGCCACAGCCCACTCTCAGCTCATGCCTGGCACTCACACACAGCCATGGATGGGCAAACCTCACCCAGGGACGTTTTGCTGGCCTTTCACCACAGCCAGACTGATAAATTGCTGTCTCTGCGCCTGTCTCCCCAGAGAGAAGCTCTCACCACTCTGGCAGGTCGCAAGATGCCAGCAAATGCAAAGCTTGTTGCTGTTGCTCTCGCTTTTCTTCTCTGCTGTCCTTTCCCAGCCCTCCCCGCATCCAGCCGCAGTGGCCGCGGGGCACGAGGGCTTGGAACTCCTCAGCACAGCAGCTTGGTGAGCAGCGGGTGAGGGCTGGGCTGTGTCGGGGATTTCTCGGCAGAGCTATCGATGGGAGGTCAAGAGCCTGTATTTATGAGTGATCTGTTACAGGGCAGCAATATTTTTTAACTTGCCCCGGAGCTGTCTAGGCTCAGATCCTACAGATGATGGTTTAATGCTCAGGGGACCATCCTCATTTGTACTTTTTATTTCTCCTCACCTTCATCCCTCTAATGTCTCTGGACATGTTAGCAGACCTGTGAGTTAGCGAGCCAGACCCACTGCCCTCCTCCCTGCTGGCAACCCAGAGAAACCTGGTGCTGTTATTTCAGTAGGAAAATAAAGATCAATAACCCAGCTCACAGCTCTGAATCCAGGCACATGGTAGCAAACAGTGCCCATGATTTCAAGCTCTCTCCAAAGGCTGGATTTTCACAGCCCGTGATGCAGAGAAGAGATGCCCAGCAGAGCTGTGTCCCTACCTCAGCTCCCACCTGTGCTTGCTGCAGAGCCTCTGCTGTGAAAACGCGCTCTCCCAGTCCGACAGCTAGCGGGGACAGGCTGATTTTTCACCCTTTAAAAAGCAAAAGTCACATACCTGTTCTTTTTTCTGCATGTCAATTGAACCTAGATTTAATTGCTATTCTCAGCATACAGGTTGCTGCACTCTCCTCTTGCCACCGCCCCCGTCTTCATTGCTGTGCTAAGGCTGTAAATAATTGAAGGGCAGGATCTCATCTGTTTTTTGCAATTTGTATTCATGGCTGGTTGGGATCTATCTCAGCCCATGAAGCTTGGAGCAGTCGTTGGGATGAGGGACAATGTGAGAATCCCCTTGGGAGCACGGGCATGCGTGGCGGAGACCAGCAACCAGCCTTGACCATGTTCCTCTTGGGATAAAAGCCTCAGGGCATGAAGTCAGTACATATCAAAGTTTTATTTTGTTCTCAGAAGGAAGATTACACAGAACCATCCTTACATGACATCGGATATTTTACAGAATGTAGTATCAAAAAGAAATATATATATATATAAAAATACCTCGCAGTTACGTGACATAGCCAAGAGTACAGTTCTTAGCGTGTCTGCAAGTTCAACCTTCCTCAGGTCTTCTGCTCCTCTACATGCTCTACAAATGGCTTTTTGGACGATAGCAAAATGGCAGAGTGGCTCATTCATTGTTGACTCCTTCCTTGCATGGCAAAACCAAAGGAGGAGGCAGAGGACAGGCCCAAAGGAGGCTACAGGCATGCAGAGAGGACAGCAGGTAATTTTTGCCTGTTGCTTACAGCTATAGGAGGGCTTTGCTGGCAAGTGAAGGAGTTGATGTCCCCACTGAACGAAGGTAAGCTCACCTGACCTTCTTCCTTCATGGGGCTTACTTGTCTGCATGGGCCATGGAGGGAGGCTGGGGAGATAAGAATACTTCTGGTGTGTTAGGTGAGTTAGATGCAGTCTAGGATGACTTGGACACCTGCAATAGTCCAGAAGAGCCATGAACAAACACTGAAGACCATTTACAATGGCCTGTAAATCAGCCAAATCAATGGCCTTAAAAGCAGCTAAAAGGGACCAGGTTCTTACAAGAATGAATGCACAGCCATACAGGACTATCCAGGCCCCTAAAGAAGAGGTGAAACCCCAAGGAAGGGGTTATCTGAAATGATTCTGCTGAAAATAAGTATTGATTAGATACAGCAGATGTGATGCTATGTTGTGTGCTGGAAAACTTTCCTTGGGAGGTCTGCTGTGGCTGGAAACCATCCCAAGAACTACTTCCGGGGAAGACTGGAGAGGGCTTGAGGTGATGGAGGGTCAGAGAAGTTCTGGTGGCTGGAGGTAGGGGTGACACTGTGTCCAAATCCTGCTCCCTGTCCTTGTGTCCTGTGTGGGGCACCCATCCCACATGGTGGGGTAAGGGTAGCCCACTTGGGTTGGTGCTGTCTTGACAGCCATTAGCTTTCCAACCATGGCTGAAGTTTAGGGCTAATGTGGATGCATCTTCACATCCCTGGGGCCAGGTGGACATCACCTGAGATGCCATCAGGCAGGGATGTTTGTTTGCAAATAAAAATAATAGCAGATCCCCAGGACTCTCTCACTACTCCTTTCACAGAAAAGGTGTTCCACAGCGTGGGGGACCTGTGAGGTCCAGGCCTGCCTGGATGGGTTTCCTGCACTGTCCATAGCCTCTGTAGCTCCTGAAGTTGCATCGTCTGATGGGAAGATCTGGTTGAAGAGCCCTGGGGATGGGGACAATTCTCTGTGCATAGCCCAAAGTTTTTGTGGCAGGGAAATGCTGCCTCTGTCGCTGTGCCTGTGTCCTGGCTTGGAGGAAGGCTCCCTGGGAGGATGGATGAGGCTTGGAGATGGACAGCACAAGCTGAGGATGCCAGCTGAGACTTTGCCCTTTGCTCGCTTCCCCCAGCTCCCTAGCAAGCATTTCCTAAGAGCACAAGCGAAGGGATGCAGGACCAAGCGAAACAAATGACGTGGAGGGCTGGCAAAGGCCTGGCGTGCACTGAGCGTTGTGGCTACTGCTTGCGAAAGACCAGAGTCTGGAGCACATTAAACAACAACAACAACAAGAAGAAAGGGAGCTGCGACAGCAGGCTGCTTAGTCACTCATCTCTCCAGCTCTGGATCCAGAAATGTCCACCTCTCTGAGGAGCCTGTTTTCTTCTCCACCCAGTCCACATAGTTAGAGACTTTGGTGTACACACCGTACACCTGCTTGCTGCCGCACTCCTCTGGGCCACCCCATGAGACCAGCCCTTGGGCCACCCACCTCCGAGTTCCTGGGTCCTGGATGACAAAGGCTCCCCCACTGTCTCCCAGGCAAGTGTCCTTCCCACCTTCGTAGTAGCCAGCGCAGAACATGTTCTCGGTCACGCTGTAGTTCCCAGAGCGTGACTCATAGCTGGTCTTGCACTCCGCATGGAGCACCACCGGCAGTTTGACGTACTGCAGGATGTCGGACAGTGTCCTCATGCCCGAGCTGATGATCTCATCCACTGTGATGTTGGGGTTGGAGATACCCCAGCCAGCCACCAGCCCCAATGTGTTGGGGTGAGGCCCCTCCAGCTCGTGCTCAAACTGGGGCAGGCAGACAGGCATGACGTAGTTCCCCATGGTCACCTTCTCCTTCAGCTTGACCAGAGCAATGTCGTGGTTGTAGTTCTGGATGTCAAACTCCTCGTGGAGAATAATCCTCTCCACCGTCCGGTTGATGGCTTCCATCTTGTTCCTCACATCATGAAGGGCCAGGTAGACAGTGACGTGCTCCTTGGAGACAGGAATGACAGTCTTGTCTCGCCGTTGGGAGCGGAGCACATGGGCAGCCGTCAGGACCCAAGAGTCTGAGAGCAGGGCCCCGCTGCCAAACCATTTGTCATTGGGCACCCGGGACATGTCCTCCACCACAATCAGGGCCTGCCAGGGGAAGAAACCAGGCTCTGCATTTCGCCCGCCAATGATGCGCTTGATGATCCCAGGCAGAGGACGAGCTGGCCGGCCACACACTGGGGACAAAAAGAACAGGACAGTTATTCCCAGCACTTCTCTAGGGAACAAATGAAAAGGGACAGCCCTGTAGATTATGCCATGTGGCTGGTCATCTTCAAACCACTCACTTGTGCCTTTTTTTCCCATAGAGGGCAACTCCTCTCCTTTTCTCAGTGGATAAAGCCCATTCTCCCTGCCATCTTTACCTACTCCTGGCAGAGTGTGCCTCAGAGCTTGGAGCACGATGAGTATTGCACACCATGCCCTACACTAACAGGTCTCTGGAGATATGTCTGGGAAAGGAACACATCTGTCCTGAAGGATTTTTCTTCCTAAAGGCAGTCCCAGCTCCTTTGTGTCTTCCTGGCCTGGTTGAACCATTTCTGGTGGCAGTGGTTTGCCCTCCTGGAAAAGAAGAGGTCTATTGCTTTTCCATGAGGATGGCGGAGTGAGCTTCTTCAGCCCTTGTGAAGCTGGTCATGGACAAAGAGGCCAGTGTGAAGCCTGCACAGGTTGTCCAGTTTCTTCTGTGAAGTGGAAGCCATGCTGTGTTTCTCTAAGTCTGAAGGTTAAACATGAAACCAGGAGACCTCAATGCTAGTGCTGCCTCTGTCACCAGCCTGCTACATGACTTTGGGCTCTTCCCCTTTCTCTGCCCTCTGAGCTATTTCAGCAATACTTTTGGAGCACAAAGCATAGTTATTTGCTTACAGCCCCAGGACAATTGAGTCCAGCTCTCCAAGAGTTAAAAATAGCCACACCAAGCCCTCTGGATGTCCCATGCTTTCTGTGGCTGTGGACAACGAGGCATAGATTAGTGTCTTGTCTATGGACCAGTAGAACCAGTTGGTTTCCAAGATTTGGGCTCCCCTTTCCCCAGGTGCCCAGGGAAATCCCAGTCCTGACATCTGCTCTTACATGGCACCCTGGGACACCCAAGGTTGGATCTCAGGCAGCTGTCCCGGGAGGTACTACTGGGTTTTTGGCATAATCTACCTGCAATGATGAATGCACGTTGCTCAGCATCATCCATCATTGCATCTTTGGGGCCTGCAATACCTTCATGGTGGGGCAGAGGGTCCGAACTCCCTTGCATCTCCCCAGCACACGTGCATCCTGGAGTGTGGCTGTGTGGCTCCCATGGTTATGGCACCTTGCCCAGAACAGGCCATTCTTCTGCTAGCAATGAGACAGGACTGAAACCAAGTTGAGCCACTAGACCCCCATGCTGAACCAGGGAAGGAGGCTTCTTCAGAGCTGGGAGCACCCTGCTCCTGCTGTCCTGGCTCTGCAGGAGTCCATCCTAGGTTTGGTCATGGGCAGTCGAGGCCCAGTTAGTCACAAAGTTTCCTCCAAAAAAGTAGCCTCCCAGCTGCCTTCTCCTTCCTCAATCTTGCTATAGGTGGTGAAAGGAGGATGTGAATGCTCTTGGCAATGAGACCGTGGACTTTCTAGGCATACTTCTAGCTACCAGCCCAGGTGGGTCTCAGGCCTAAAGAGTCTCCACTGAGCTTGGGAAAGGTCAAGCTCTTGGTACCTCTCAGGGCAGGGCTGCAGCACATGTGACTGTGTCACAAAAGGAGGTGGAGATCACTTGATGAAAAGGATGGGCTTGTGCCAAGGTCCCATGTACTAGACCTCTACTTCAGAGAGGCTGGAGGATTCACCCTTCAAATAACAGGCTCATCTGATGTAAAGAGTGAGTCGTTGCCCACTGGGCATGAATACAGACAGTCAGAATTGTGTAGAGCACACTAGAGGACCATGGAGGCTTTCATCCAGGGTTAGCTACCCCAAAGCTATACCAGATCTCCTGACACTGAAGTCAGGCATGGATTCAGCAAAACACGCGAGCCAGGGTGAGAATTCAAGCACTGAGTAGTATTAGACCTTAGTCTTGATTTACATGGATGTGACCCATGCTCCAGATGGGGAACATGTTGCTACCAGATTCCTCAGGGAAGAGCAAATGGAGGGATCCTTCTGCTATCTTGAAGACCTGCCAGACGCTATGATTTCTGCGAAGCCTGGATTGCAGTAAAACAGG